CTCCTGCATCGGCAGGCGGACTCTCAAGCACTGCGCCACCAGGGAAGCCCTCAGTGAGGCATTTTGAAGTGAATTACTGGAATGCGTCGTCCAGCCTGCAAAAATAAGAGTTCACCTAGCGCAGCACTGACTTGGTTCTTGGCTTTAGGGCGGGGGGTCAGAAAGGGACACACGTGTAGGTCTCCTTAGCGTGGTTGCTGGGTTGAGCCTCTGGCAAATGTCAGCAGCGCTAAGAGGGGGTGGTCAGCTGCCCTGCGGGTCAGAGGGGAGCGAGGGAAGCCTGGGTTCAGCCCGGTGGCAGCTTCCTCAGATCTGGGCCGCACGCGTTGCTACAACACTAGACTCTGTTTTTGCAGTGCTGTTGGTAAAGCCCGTGAGGGGCATTTTGTAGGAAAAGAGGTCTGTCCTGGAAGCCTCAGGAGCCGGGCTTCCCCAGGCAACTTGTCTGGCCCGAGTGAGGTTGTGTGGGCGTTTGCCGGGCGCAGAGGGGACACAGCTCGGCCAGCGGTGACATCCCACAGGTCACCTTGACGTGAGGGGAGGCAGAGGGGGGCGGGGTCCCTGTGTCCAGCACTTGAGTTCTGAGTGGAAGGAAGGAAAGAGGAGGGAGCAGAGGAGGGGGGCTCAGAGGGAGGTGACGGGGAAGAATCAGCAGGTGAGGGGACCTGAGCCCAGAGCCGTCACCTGAAAAGGAACTGGGTCCCAGTGATGGGAAGATGGACGGGGCACATTGGGGTGACGGCTGACATCACTGGTATAAAAGTGTCCTTACTGAGTGATGTACCACGGCAAGGATGAGATTCCTTAATTGTGTGCTGGGGCGCGGCGGGCAGGGCTGGCAGGTTCTGGGAACCCGGGACGGAAAAGTTACTTTTCGCTCTGACCGTGTGTGCGCAGGACAGGGTTCAGCCTGGGTTTGCGTGTCTGCCACTTTTGTCATCTTCCCAGGAGAGCTTCGTGTGTGTCCTTAGGAAGATGAGCAGGGGGCTGGGGGCCTCTTCTTAGCTAACGCCTAGCGTCCAGAACCTTCTCTACAGGAGAGTGAAAATGGCGATCAGCCCTCCTGACCGGATGTCCGGGGACCCCAGTGTCCAAGGCTCAGAGAGGCTTCAGAGCGTGTCGGGCTCTGTGTGCTGTCACCTGGAGCGTGGGCACCTCTGTCCTTCAGTTTTGCACGGAAGAGCCCCGGCACTGGCATCTCCATTTTGCTTGATTTCTTTCTGTTTTGAGCAAACGGTAGAACCAAGAGCCGCAGGATCCTTTCAGGGCCTGGGGTTGGTGGCAGGCGCAGGTTGACCCCAAAGGCCCCAGGGCGTAAGAGGGACAGGCCGGCGCTGCATGCAGGTGCTCCTGACGGCGACAACCTGGCGTCCCCAGCCCCCGTCTTAGTGCCGATTCGGATAAACGCACGACCCAGGTTTACCCCAAAGTGCTGAAAGGAAGGAAACAGGATTGAACAGGGGTAGCGCTGGGGTCCCACGTCGAGGTTTTAACTACGTTCTTATATTGTTTTGAGGACAGAGGTTTGGGGTCCCTCCTGCCCACGAGCTCAGGAGGCCTGGCACACAGGTCTGGGAAGGCAGGGCCTTGGCCTCCCCGTGCAGGCCGGGAGCCCGGGTCCTGGGGACATCGTGCTCCCTGCTGGGGCATCGCAGGGGGGAGTCACTGCAGCCACCGCAGCGCAGCACGGAACACTTTGTGACACAGGGCTGCCTGACAGTGGGCTTGGTAAACAGCTATTGCGAGTCAGCTGCAGAGAGCCCGAAGCCTCGTGCCAAGACCACGGCCTGAAGACAGCCCTGCGCGGGAAGCTGGCGGGGTCGCCCCTTCCAGAGCTGAGGGTCTCCCACGCCTGGGGGTCCCTCCCCCTCGTCCGCTCTCATCAGTCAAAGGGGTTCTCCCTGGGATCTTTGCCCCCAAGCTCGCTGGCCCTCCCTCTCCCTGAGCGCGTGGCTGGGCGGGGCAGTTCCCACGGCATGTGAGACATGCTTTCGTCGGCCACTGAGACAAGGATGTGGCAAATTCAGTAAAACTTCTAAGGAAAACTGTTCCGTACAGTAGCGCTGCCAGCCGCAGAGGGCCTGGAGCCGCGTGGGCAAAAGCCCTGCTCCTCAGTCTGGGCCCGTATTTGCGCTGCACGTGGACTCGGGAGTGCCCGGGGGGCTGGGCCTCAGGACCCGGAGAGCCAGGTGCCCCGAGGGCCGAGTCTCCAGCAGCCCAGCCTCTCCCCGGGGTGTGTCCTCAGTACCGACATCGGCCACCCGGACCTGATTTCCTGGCTCATTCATTTATGGATTTCCTGTCATCCTGGGCATGTCAGGCTGTGGTCACTCTGGCTTTCCATGTCACCGTCGACCCCTCTGCTCCAGGCCCTGGGCCTCCTGCTGGCTGGGCCCTGTCTCCTCCCTCCCCACAAGCCCTGCCCGTCCATGTCCACTCCTGTCCAGCTAAATTCCACTCGTGCATGGAAACGGCCATGCCCGCTGTCACCCCCTCCCCCAGACTCTCAGCACCTTCTCAAGCCTCTGATGTGGCATCCTGGGAGGTGGTGCCCTGGCGGACATCCCTGACGTTGGCCCACTCTCAGGCCTCTGCAGTGACCTCTAGGTTGACCAGCTAGGGATCAGGGGCTCCACTAGATGGCGCCAGGCGCCCATGGTGTGAGAACCAGCCCCCACCCCCACCCCGGGGCCACGATTCTGGCGAGTGCTCTGGCCTCTTAGGTGATGCTTTGGACCAATGCAGCCTTAAACATTCTTCATCCCGTGTTAATCTAAAAGTTTATTACCGAGTCTAGGAAAACTTAAATTTAGTTTTCTACACCATGGCTGTGTTTGTGCAGCTTAAAAGAAAGCATAAACCTCAGTCTCGGTCTGGCTGCTTGGATTAATTGATATTGGCCTCAAAAATCATAGTACTCAGGTTTGGGAAGGCTGGAAATATAATTTCATTTTTTAGTAACCAGGCATCTGTACAGTCTCAACTTAATTTTCACCACATGGATAGAGTCCCGGTCTCCAGTTAATGAAACGACATGGCTTTGTGTTTTGTTCCGTTGTTAGAGACGTTGAAAGTAGAATAGGAAAGGGGATCGGAGCACGTGTGAATGTTTTCAGGGCTGAGACTGTCCGCAGAAAAAAAAGAATAGATGAATTAATGAACTGAGTTATGGTGGCATATGGGGCATGTGAAAACAGGGCTGCAAGTAAAAAAATAGCAAATCACCACCAGCCAGACACTGGCCATTGTTGCAGGAATGATCACTGGAAGATGCTGAGATCAGTGGGTGAAAGTTTAAGGAGAAGCAGAATTTGCACTTGCATCTCCACCGGGATCGTTCTTAACTACAAAGAGAGTATCCTCATTTTGGAGAAAACCTCCTGACCCGAGCGATCCAGACGACATCCCAGGAATAAGTAAGGCCTGTGGGCATCGCACTCCTGATCTGATGCCCGAGGGGAGGCAGCATCCCTGCAGGTTCCTGCCGGACCGTCCACCTCTGTCCAAGCACGGAAACGCCAGGCACGTTGAGGCACAGTCAGTGAAAGACTCACCAGTCCGCGTCCCAAGTGTTGCAGCCACAGGAGAGATGAGGCAAGACCCAGGCCCTCGAGGCCGTCAGGGGTCACAGGAGGCTGAACCACCGCATCTTCCTGCCCCGAGGGATCCGGGCCGGGCCCAGAACAGACAGAGGGACATGGGTGAAACTCAAGTGCAGGAGGTTTTGGTTTATAGAGTATTGCGCCGATGTTCATTTCCTGGATTTGCTTGTCGTACCAAGGTTATGTGAAATGTTAACCAAAGGATGAGCTGCTGAGCAATCTGTGAAAGCTCTATACTGTTTTTGCAGCTTTTCTGTCATTCTAAAATTAGCTCCATGGAACTGGCCGTGTATGTGATTAAAGGTACGAAGCTGACTTCCAAGAAATTCCCATTTTCAGTATATTTGAAGGTAGGCTTCAGATGCTGACGTTTTTCAGTAAGCGTAACATTTCCTTTGGTTCTTTTTATTTGGGTGACCCAACAGACATGAGGACACTTGGAACAACGATAGCGATAACTACCATTTATGAGCCCCAGCACTTGTTAGGTTCTTTATAAAAACCATCTCATTTAATCCACACCTGTGCCCCTTAGGATAGCTGGATACGGTTATTCCCCTTTTACAGACAAAAAAGCTAAGCAAGGAGTAAGCTGCTTCCCACGCTTAAGTGGCAGACGTGGAGTTTCCTGGAGGGCCCCGCTGGCCTTGCAGACAATTGGCTTCTCTGCACAGACAATTAAGGAATGATTTGTAACAAATTTGTTTTGGGGGCTGGTTCCATTTTCTAGATTCCACTTTCTAGAGCTCCAAATCTCACATTTAAGAAAGATGAGGAGGTTCCTATACAAGGTGACTCCTGGCGACATTCACAAATGTTTTGCAGCACTGACGTTTGTTTTCACTTGTAGGGTCTTCCCTTCCAAATTCCCTTGGGAGGCGGTGGGAGAGAGGATCTGGGGGCTGTCAGCTGGCTGTCCTGAGGTGCCTGAGGTTTTACGTGCTTCCTGGGACAGGTTTGGGTCAGTTAATAAAAGCAGTAAAGCAAGAGGTTCTGTGCTGTAGTGCGTTTTAAATTGTTAAGCAGGGGGATCTTAATCTCTCCTGTCGGGGTGTCGTCCTCTGCAGTGTGTCTGCTCACTCAGGCTTCGGTCAACATCTTCGTGCTCTTTCTGCACCTGTTGGTGTAGTTGATCCCAGAGGTTCCAAGCACTGACTTTTCGCTGGTTTTCAGCTCCTTCTCATAACTTACAGGCTGTCTGAGGCGGGTGGGCTCTAGGTGGGCTCAGCCAGGGAGAGGAGGTCGGGAAAGAGCCACGTGCTGATGCCACGTGGAGTGTGACCGACCTCGAAAGGCCAGTGAAACGAGCGCTGTCACTTCTCCAGAAATTCAATTGGAAATTTTAGCAGTTACTTGGCAAATCCGATTGATGGATAGTCATTTTATCCTGGGGGGCAGAGGTAAGGAGGAAATCGACTTTTTTTTCTTCTTTTTTTTGTGTAGTTTCCCTAAGTGTCTTCATGTGGAGAGAAATTCAAAGAACTGAGAATCAAATACCCAGAAAGATTAAAAGTAAATAGGAAGTTACAATTTCACTTATTAAAAAAAAGCAAATCTGTACATGGGGATAAAATAATCTAAATTATGGTGAGATGTAAGAAATAAAACAATCCCGCAAACAACAATAGCATCAGATGCCCAACGAGACGGGGTAACACTGGACATCCTTGCGACCTGTGCCAGGGCCAGAGGAAGGGCTATCTTGAGCTGTTTCCGTGCATCAGGCCCTGAGTGGGAAGGTGATGATCATTGGATTTGAGGACCCAGCAGGAGTTTAGAGTCTGTTTGAAGCACGTTTTTAAGGTGGGGTAAGTGAAGGCCCTGATTTGACGGGACAAACGAGGCCCTGAGCACGGAGCTCGATGACCAGGGGCCGAGGTTGGTTGGGGATGCACACAAGGAGCTGGAGCCCTGGTGACCCTCCAGGTCTATCCTTGGAGAGTCTGTGATCCACTGAGGGAAGGGAAGGACACACAGTCCCCGGGAAATGTCAGTAAGAACTTCCCCAGGTCGGAGAAGGGAGTCAAGTGCACTTATGTTTAAATGGACCAGATGACGTGATGGAGCCTGGGAGCTAATAGGCTCTTAGAGTTGGAAGGGTCCTTGGAGAGCATCCAGGACAATTTTGAAATTTCCAGTTAGGACACTGCGTCCAGTATCTCGGGGTTCCCTGCTGGGCTGCGCCGTGGAGTCCCAGGTCCCAGGCCGGTGCTGTTTCAGCTGCCCACTCCTCCACACACACACACACACACACACGCACGCACGCACGCACGCACGCACGCATGCACGCATGCACGCACACACACCACCACCACCGATGCTCGGGCTTCCCCGTCCCCCGCTCCCCTTCTAGAGCTGGGTGAGCACCAGACTTTGCAAATCTAACCACACAGCCAATGTAGACACACAAAGACGATCTCTTTGTTGCCCTTTGTGCTTGTTGGTGAGAAGTCAGTTTGTATATAGGATAATATAAAGTAAAAGGTGGAGTCACCCGTTCGGTTGAAAATGCACACGGATTGCGCTGGATCCTCACGGCGACCCTGGGCCGTGCTATCCTCACCTGAGACAGGTGAGAGCTTAGAGAGGTCAGGTGACCTGGGCAGAGCCCACGTCGTGTGCGGTCGTCTTAGCCTGAAACCCAGCCTCGTTCTGCTCCGGCTTCAAACCCACAGGGCGGGCGTATGGCGAGAGCGCTCGGACGGCCAGAGCGCCTTTCTGCGGGGGAGAGATGCCCCTCTTGACTGGTGTAGGGTCGGCAGGTGTGGCCCCTGAGTCTGGGCGGCGGAGAATTCTCTAAACTGTGGGGGAGGAGGGAGCACAGTAGGAGAAGGGGGGTGTGGGGAGATCGGTGTGAGCCCCAGACTCTTCAAAACTTCAAAATCGGATCCCCTTCTGAATATTTCCCTTACTGCTTTCGCTTTCAGAAATCATGAGGTCCAATGGATTTTGCTTAGCAAATACCGAAACAATCGTTATTGACCACAGCATACCAAACGGAAAAGACCAGCACGCAGCTGTGGACCCCTCGGAGCACCTGTAAGTGCACTGATTCGAGTGTCATTTTACACACGAGGTCCCAAGCCGTCAGCCAGTGCCCGGGGCAGGTTCCCTGCCCACTCGGGGCTCTAGGAAGGGGACAGAGTGTGACCATGCGGTTGGCTGTGGGGAGGGGGGACATTCAGGAGGAGTTGCCTGGCTTCACGTCTGTGCTGTGCTGGGCCCTGGAGGGTCCAGGGCCACAAGCCTCCTCGTGGGGGCCTGGTCTCCTGGGGTGG